AAATCATGCAACACTGCTCGAGCTTAGAGACATGCAGTAATTTGCTCATCTCCCAAATTCCACCCCCTTGACTCTATTCCGATCGTTTCACTTTGGTGCTTTCCTCAATGGATTCACACAGAGTTCTCATGATGAGGGCCAACAGACTGTGAATTCATATGGTCAAACAACTTCATAAAGTTCGTGACATGATTTTCTGTAAGTGAAATTATAGATATCCTAATCTAAGTTGGTTGCCCAGAGCTTGTCAGTCTACTGTTCAGTTACACCCACCAACCTCTCCAATAGCATGCAGAATATCGGAAAGAACTTGAAAGAAGAATTCGACTCTGACAATGAGTCAGTGCAATGATTAGAATAATTCGCGAACGGAGAAGACACTAGAGGAAAAAAGAGGAAAGAGCAAGAGCACCTCTGTGCTTCATGGTCAGTGACATTCCGTTGAGCGGTAAAAGCCAACTTTGTGGCGTTGGATGAAGATCACATGATCGAATACGAAGCAAGTTATACGATCGGCAAACACAGGTGAGATAGGAGTGGAGCAGAGCTAGAGCAAGGTTTACACTAATAAGAGGAACCGACAGGGTCTTATCTTACCAACTAAGATTTACAAGGACTCACGCCATTACACAGATATAAGAGGAATTACTTGAGTGCCCGCTACCTTCAATTGCGTGACTTATGACGCATATTGGAAGCCCACAAAGGAAGGAACAAACTAGCATTAAAAAGGAGGGAAAATTCGTACCGTTGGATGAAGGGACCATTGACCTGGGAGGGATCTCCACTAGCAGGCGTCTTTTTGCCAAAGTTTGGCTTTGAGGGCTGTTCGGTTGTCGGTGCTGTGTATTCACGCGCCTTGAAGTGTTTGTCATTACCGGGACGCTTAACCCTACAACAATCACGTTTCAAGGGATCGCGTCAATTCAATTAATTAACTACAAGGCACCTCAAACATTGGGATTCGGCAAGCGTGCTGTTGCGAAAAAATGTGCTCACCTTTTCCACGGCAATGTGAAAATGCCACAACACTTCTCCAAATTGTCCAAATTCTTCTCGGTGCTTTTGATGTCCTCGTGAATGACGTTCATTTGATCGTTGACTCGATCCAATTGTTCTATCCCATGGCAAAAAATATAGAAACAAACAATTAGAGAAAAATACCGGTAGATAAAAAAGAAAGGCGACAACCGATGACAAAATTGTTTTGTGCGGGCGTGACCTGTGCATTTCCTTCACACACAAAGCCGGCTAACCTGACGGATTAAATCGACACAGGATCGAACCAGTCTAACCGACTGTGCCATTTCTCAGTGAGGTGCAGGCTTTTAGCAGTCTAAATTTCTTCAACCACAATAAAATCAAAGGAATAGGAACGGATACAGAGACCAACGTCGGAGCAAGGACCACATGTCCCAATACTTTTATACGACAGCAGAATTTGTTGTGGCCGAGGGGTTTGACGAAGGGTACGGTTAAAGAGAAAAAGTCAATTCAAGCACTTTTACTGGATGACTGAGAACCAAAACGTTTTAAGGAGTGGAAAATCGGAGATATGAAAACACAGACAAACATTATTTTGCCACTCGATGGTAAAATTTGTTGGCAATAGTCAATTTACGTCCATTTAAATCCCAGTTACTGATAAAAAGGGCTTGGACAGACTGATTCGGTCAACACTTTGGTAAACGAACAAGATTTCGTTGGGAGGTGAGTAGGACAGCCATAAATGGTACAGGATGAATCGTATGTGTATGACAAAGGAAGGATTTGTTTTTCTGTTAACCAACAAATGCAGAAATGAAGGTCAACTGACTTCCCTTGAAGCGATTCATTCTCCTAATCAAAAGGGCAGTCAGCTCCATGACATGATATAAAGACCGGAAAATAGGGAAATAAATGATTGTATCATTCTTAGCAGTGATATGAGCAAAAAACTTATCAAAAGAAAGCTATTGACAAGTTTTAAGATTTTACCAATAAAAACTGTAGCTAAGCCTCATAACTCGTGACCAAAGTAGTATATTCAAATGCGAAAGGTTTCTATAACCGTGAATCAATACAAGAAATATATGAAGAAGGCATAGCAGAAAATCGTGATGGGGAAAATAAAACTTTAATGGAACACAAACAATGCTCATAATAATGACACAGAACAATTTCAAGTAATCCAAGAATGCTGGTTCAAAAGCCTTCCCGTTACCCATTCAACTAATAAT